ATGTAGAAATATTTTTTTCAAAAAACATATAAGTTTATTCGTGTTTCCAATCTCCAGGAGGACCTCCTAAAAGAGTTGTTTGTCAGTTAGCAAGAATGTTCTGTTTAAAAATATCTATAATCTGTAAACCAAACAATTTTGAAAAACATTGAGGTGATTTTTCTTTTATTGCTTGCTCCATCTTAGTCGATTCAACAACAGTGTATCAGTCACTCCTTCTCTACACGTGAAAATTCTTTTCCTCTTGATATTTTTCAACGATAAATTTGCTGAACCAACTTAAAAGATAAGATAGTTAATTCAATTCAAAAATAAAKAATACAGTAAAAACTCTCTTAAATGAACGCCCTATTAAGCGGACATCTCCATTAACCATGACCATTGTTGATGTGTATTGAGTACAATATATTAAGCGGACAACTCTATTAACTGGTCAGARGCGCTGRTAACCAGACATTGAGAATGCAGTCTTAAATTCGTTATTATTTCCAATGAAATTTATTTGTATAAACATATTCAAAATTAGACCTCAAGTGCAATCCCTTAGATTCTTATTCGCTTCTATTCGTAAATAAAATGTTCACTGTATTCAATAGTAATGAATTCAATAGTATAAAATGTATAGCACAGCAACGCAGTGGTTTATTTATAGAAATCGATCTGAAATCGATATTATTATGATAGCTGTCAGAGAGGTGCTCTTCTCCTAAAAATTAACCAGTGTTGTTGAAGTATTTTTTGCATTGAGTCTTCTTCGAAAATCAAGGGCGACTTTTAAGACCACAAATATATAGTGGATGTGGCCCTTTTTCACAATRTGGAAGTTTTAAGGGATGTTGAATATATAGTATAGTTAACTCTCAAGCCTAAAATAGCAGTGATATTATTATAATTGTTGGTGCGCCTTTCATTTCTATTATTTTCTCAATTTTATCATCAGAAAGTTTACTATGTTGGCAACCCAACTTTATTATATTCACAAACATTTTCAATATGTAGCAGAGCTTCTTACTATCTCATTTGAATCGTCTCAAAAGGTTTTAGTTAATGTTTTGGGTGTGCAGCGATACCTTGCTAGACTCGTATCAAAAGACGTGCATTTTTTGCAAAAACGATGTAGAGTWGTGTGGTAGCAAAAGATAATAGCAGAGAACCTTACATTCATCAAACGCATCATTACTGKTGACCASACGTRAGTATATCCAACTATTCAACGATMTAGCAAAGGTTTTGAACGCCTTTATTTTACCACAAACCGAAAACACCACAGTACTCTGAAGACAATGAAAGCCATCCTAACCAAAGCTTAAATCAAGTGTATGAAAAATTGAARTAAACATTGTMATTTTTCAATTGACTCAGGAGCCTATAGCAAAGATTTATTTTAGTATATATGAAATCGATTTTCTGTTTGTTTTGTCAGTCTTGGTCCCATTTGATCAGGTGATTCATTACGTCAAGCCAAAACCTAATCTAAAGAATTTAAGGTATAAAATGAATTTATATACACTGACTTTCAAAATTTCCCGTACAAATAACACTTAAAATGTCAAATWCCATTAAATTTTGTGTGTGTGTTTTTTWAAGTTTAGGATGAAATRKGATTTGCATTAACTAAATACTCAAAAATATTTAGAATTTGAACGAAACCTCGAAACAAAAAGTAATATTTTTGCACAACACATTTACAGCTATGAAAATAAATTTGTTTTCCATAGCTCAGGGCTGCATGACTTCATTGAAACTTGCTTATCTACCTGACACATAAACATATACACATCCAATCAGTTCCAAAGTGCAGGAAAGTTAACTTGAATGATTTACTATGTAGCATTCAACGATACTTAAATAGCACATTGCCAAGCATCCAAAACATATTTGCTCCCAAGATTTATCGCAGTTTTCCCATTTTCCCATTTTCGTGCTTTTTTCCGTATTTGTGTTCGTAAATATGCTCGTTTRTGTTTATTATAAGGCTTTGCAATTTTTGATGAAACCAATGAAATCAATATTTACCAATAGAATATTCAATTCAAAATACCTCTAATCTATTTTCAGCAWACAACAACGACAACAACCTCGACCAGGTGTCATAGAGATGAAGGGATTGAATGCATACATACTTATATGTRTGTATCTGTGTCTGTGAACCAATCGACAGSCATTGAAAGCTGTTAAAAAGCAGATAACTTTTAACAGTAAATTTGCGTCGAAGGCAGCAGCSGCAAAGCTGCACACACACACCCACTCAACTTTTGGACCATCRACTTGACAACAATATTAGCAAAGTGATTTCACTGTGTGAGTGCCAAATATAACTACATGTGATGCAAAATAAAATATTTTGCTTGTGCTTCAGTGTTTATGAAAAATATATAAATATATACATAAATATTTAAATGTCATAAAACATGCAACATCCACRTACATACATACACTTTAGCATATAAATCCTGTGCTTGGATAACAAGTGGCGTTTGCCTAAACTAGGAAGCGTGTGTATGTGTTTGTGAGGGTGGGCAAAATAAAGTGCTATTAACTAGTGGTTAAGTGCGTAAGGCTTTGGCTGCACACTACACACACATCATACAATTGCACATACGCGCGCAGCGAAAAGTGGCGGTGGACCACATGTGTAGCAATGCAAAAATGATTAACGAGCTATAGGCCTAATGCGCCGTAAATCAAAAGAAAGGGAGAAAACTTTAAACGCCGAAACGGCATTCTTCGCAACAGGTCAATAAACCCACAGCAGATGGGCGGGGGCGTATGAGTAACGCTTGATAAGCGTACACTTTAGATTAAGCTGTGTTGGCAGGAGTTTTCATACATGTGCTATGGAGTAGAGCTAACCGTGGCAAAAGCACGTTATGTGCACTTTTAGTGTGAGGCGAGCAGTTCTTTGATAATTATAAAATTTGGTGGAAAATTATTATCATATTCGGAGGCTGTGATGAGCGACTATTGCGCAGATCTTAATTCTAAATTATTGCTGATAAAGTCTCAATGACCAAAATTTAAAAAAAGTAGTGAAATAATAAAACTATTAGCTCATAACCTAAAAATATATGTTGGAATTAAAATTTTTGCGGTGTTTTTATATAACAAGAGAATCATTATTTCGTTAGAAACTACTTTAAATTTTAAACTGCTTTTCATGCTTATGCTAATAAGCGAATACGGTTTGTTCGCGCAACTTTAGACAAATTTAATACTATGATTTAAAATTTATATATATGTATATATATATATGTATATCCTATACTGAATATATGGTAGTCGAAAAAGTCTTTTCGTATTTTAACAATGGATGTCGTTGCAGTCGTATAACTCCAGTGCTATCAATCACATATAGTGATGGAAACGTGAGATTTTAAGCTTCATTTAACCAAAAAAATTAAATTCAGGAAGTTGAAAATAAGTTACAGCTATTCAAAAATTCGTTACATATTTTGAAATTTTTGTATAAAAAGGGAAGAATGCCAATGCTGTATCAGTTCGTGCAGGACAACAATGGCTAGCTCGCTTTCCTTCTGGAAATGGTCGACCTATCGTTGAACAGTTGATAAAATTATGGAAAATATCGACCATATAAGCAGCCACGACATCGCTAAGGAACTGTCATCAAAGGTTTTGAGCCATTTAAAGAAGCCCCATTTTTGGGTATCACATGGGTTGCCTGCGAAAAATTTAATGGACCGAATTAACATCGGGGGATTCTTTGCTGAAACGAAATGAAGTCGAATCATTTCAGAAGCGTATGGTAAAGGAGATTAAAAATGGATCAAATGCGACAATGTTATGTGAAAAAGTTCATGGTCCAAGCGTGGTGAAACTCRACAAGTCGCCTTAAAAGGTTATGCCGACAGTTTGGTGGGACTGGAAAGGTATCATCCACTAYGAGCTGCTCCAGTTTGGTCGAACGATTGATTCTAYATTTTACTGTCAGCAGTTAATAAGATTGAAGCAAGMAAYCGCAWAAAATGGTCAGAACTGATGAACAGAAAGGGCTTCGTCTTCCAYYAGGGCCACACACATCTTTGATGACTCGGCAAAAACTGGGAGAGCTTGGTTGGCAAGTTTTGATGCATCTACCATATAGCCCTCATTTTGCACCATCCGACTATTATTTATTACTGTCAATGCAGAACTCCCTTAATGGAGTAAAGTTGGTTTCAAGACAAGCCTGTGAAAACTACTACTTGTCGCAGTTTTTCGCCGAGAAACCAGAAAAGTTTCGTTATAAATGTAAAACAAAAAAAATAAGTTGAAGTTTGATTAGAAATATGAAAATACTTTTTCGACTACCCTGTATATAGAAATTCGCAAAGCATAGATGTTTTGCTATGAAACTTTTTCGTATATAAATTTTTTAAAGGGCTCCTCAATAGCTCCATAAATCGGTATAAATGGGTGTAAAATTTTTCCAAGGGCCACATAGTATTTGCCTCATACAACATTCTAATTACTTTTTCAGACAATTTAACAACTTCATGTACAAACACACACACGCACACTCAGCAGCTGCGTGCAATTAATTGAAAACAAAAGCCTTTTCAAAAGCTCAAAACGTGACACCTCTGGTTTGGGATTTATAGAAATTAATTTGTTCGATTTTCAATTTCGGTAGACAAACAGAAATAAGTGAATGCCAATAAAACTTTATACAAAATTAAAATACTAGTCAATAAATAAAAGGCAAAAAATATAAAAATGTTTAAATAAAAAAATCAATAGCACTATACAACTTGGAATACAAATAAATTGCAATTTTTCCATTTGTCCACTTTGATGAAAAGCCACAAATTTTCAATGCAAACTAATGGAAAAGAATTTGTGTTGCATGTTGCATGTGGCCAAATAAACGAGATTAAAAGAAATTGTGCAATAATTCGCCTAAACTTAAACAACACACATAAATATACAACGTGCAGAGTGTCAAGCACATATGTATAACACATATGCCTTATAAGTTTATAAATACATAAATGCCGTTGCAGGTAATCGAAAGCGTCAGTGTGTGAAAACAAATAGTGACCAGCAGCACCTGGCTGCAAACAATTTGCATTAGCATACACCGAATGGTGTTAAAACAACAATAGCAATAAAGTAAAAAATTGTGCAAAACCAACAACGGTCAACAATTTCGAGTTGTGCAACTGATATCACAGTGATGCCAATTAGTCAGATTGCCAGCTACTAAACTGCAACGACTGACTTACTGCCTCTGTGCAATCACTTCATACCGACGATATTCGCATTGCAAAGCTTAAATACATAAAATAACGGCGTAAGATACAACAAGACTGGCTGAGTTGCAGGAAAACCTCTAAATTGAATATGGCCAGCGCAGCAAAGCGGTGAGTACAGAAAATTTACAAGTCGGTTTTTTTTTGCAAAACAAAAATAATCACTTCGTGATACAGTTCTTTTTAATTTGAATTATTTCTTACGAAAGGTAGCATATAGTTTCTCAACTGATTATTGAGAAATCTCAACAGTGGAAAGAATAGGCATCGGTATATATACTCATATACTCATGATACTCAATTTTGAAAAATATATTTTAAATTTAGAATAATTCTTAACTATACATTAGAGATGCTGATTTGCAAGTTTCCAGGAGAAAGAAAAAGTCATCCATATTATTTATATTTTCTCTCTTAAAGCTAAATCTGTTTGCACACTTTTTTATATTCTAGAAAGTGATCTACTGCCGCYTAGTAGTATTTTAACAGAGCTGTCGAATATTCCACCTATATTTTTGAGTTTTTCTGTTGTCGACACCACTTGTACACAAAATCTGCGCTATTTGTTTTCATTTAAAATATCACCAACTGATTTCCTTATTTATCAATCACATTATTTACATGAAACTCCTTAAGTACGAGCTACACTCTTGCCTTTCAAAACACACCTGAAAATACGCTGAATTTATCAACAGCGCCATTTGAATTGAAAATCGAGCGTCAACGTTGCAATCGAAGCTTTTTTCCTTTTTTACTAAGAGCTCCAATATTATTGCTTTTTAGCAAGTTTATTGCTTTAACGTTTTTGCTTATCATTCTTTTCTTGCATTTGGCTTACAATGTGGAAAGGCGAGAGATTTTCGCAATAACAATTTTTTAATAAAAACTTTTCAACTTGCATATGTATTATTTGCGAGAAATATATTCGATATATTGCATTTAMAGATATTTACATACATATATATATTTATGCATAATATCTGACTCAGCATGCAAACAAAYATAACYCTTGAACTGTATKGARTTGACTTGAAGTGGCARCACTTCAGACAAGACTTTATTTGCTTAAAGTTCAGTGAAGTGCTCTTTGAGAATTTCAATAGTTTTCGCCGGAAATACACTTATATATATTTTCTGTTGCGATTAGTGAATAATATTGGTACTTAGTGCGACTCAGGAAGACTGGAAAGCTTTATTGATACGTGACTTGAAATTAGGCTGATGTCGGTGSAAGTATATAAATAGCGCTCAAAAACAGCTTATAACACTATTTAATTGCTGAGAGTACTTCAAATTCATAAATATCAGGGGCGAAATGAAAAGCTATTAACGAGGTCATGAAATTCTGGAAAATTATTGAAGAAAAYATTAGGTACTGTATTTTAAGAAGAATAATTTAATGTATAGGCAAGGTAAGCTTGTGTGAGTATACGAAACTGTGAAAGCGTTTTGCATCTAATCAAATTTCACTCGGACTAGTCGATCGGAAGCGATATTAATCTTCTTGTTGTTTTTTTTTTTTTGTGCGTGAAGTTTATCTCAATCAGTCAATTAATGTGAATTTGTCAGCTCTTTGCTAACTACGGGAAGATKTGACTGTAGAAATATCAAGAACAACAGAAACAATTAGTGCTGAAAAATATTTTTGAAAAATGAAAAAGTGACTATGTTTTTCAATTTAAACTCCTACTCTCTTAGTATCTGACTTCCAATGTCCAAAATGTCACTTTAATTCACGTTCCAAAACTACACGTTTTCTGCAGTATATACATCTATCCTTTTCAGAATTGGTTAAAGCGTTTAAGCATGGTTATCTATGTAATCGCGTTATTACGGCAGCCCCGACTCGCCGAAGCACGAAAACCGACACACACGCCATCGCAAAAGTAACGATTAGCATTCAAACGATTGTGTTTCTATTGTCAGTGAGCGTAATTCAACAAACGACTCTTTGAATCGCACCAACAAATGCATAGTTCCACGCGCGGAACACAGTCGTATGCAAGGCACACATACGCACATGCAAGGCGCTTTCATCGCTTTTCTCACTTTGTTGACTGGCGCTTAAGTCGGAATTAGCATTTAAAGTGGTTAGCGGCTTTTTGCCTGCTTATTCCCTTGCTTGCATTTTCGTTTGGCCAYCGCGTTCGCGCCTCTTTTTGTGTTCCTGTGGCTACGCGGCTGAAGTGGCAGCCAAAATTAGTTGCGCTTCGGTTCGAACATTTGTTTTTATTTTTTTTTTTTTTTGCCGGACAAAATTCATTTCCACTACTTTCAATGGCTGCGCGGCAAAGTTTGAGTGTAGCAGTTATTGGAATTTAAGGGCTGCCAAGAATTGCTATTATGTAAATGGCGCATTTTCAGGGATTTGCTGGAGTTTGTTGTTTGGCGAAAATTAGTGCGAGRTTTTACTCCAGTCCTAAGTGAAGCTGGTTCTCAGATCATTTATTTTATGGAATAGTTAGTTTTTAATTGCTTGCAGTGACTTGGCAACAATTTGTTTTTAAATGTACCAATGCCTTGTGAAAGTTGTCTGGTTTAAAGTGAAGCAATAATTATATAAATCCGAAAAGATTTTCTCACAAAATGCARTCTTTTGGTCTTAGTAATAAAACAGTAAATTTTCCTGTACTACACGACCGCTCTAAATTTGCTGCAAAGAATTGCTCCYATCACACAACTGTTCAGCTTCGTGGTCTATAACTCGATTGTTGCTGTTGTTGTATACATTAACTCATATCAACTTAAGCTGTTTTTGCATGCTGTATCAAAAATTAAAAACAAAAAAAGTTGCCTTTTTTTTGCCACGGAGGATTTGTATAGCAACAAAGAAAAAAAAAAAAWTCATAAGGSKTATACTTCTTTGGAAATTTTKAAAAATTATYTCTTTTTRTTTTTTTGCAATTTGAGTTACTGTCTACTAATATATAGCCTCGAAGTTCTACTCGTATCAGCTCCCAGTTTATCTTACTTTGYCAAAGGGACAACTGGTCTAAATCGGTTTCCAGCCAGCGTTTTTTGGGAGCTATTGTCGAATGAAGTTTAATGAGATGATTTTTGATGTTCTATTGATAATTTGTCAAAATCGGTCAGATCGGATAACCATATCACATATCTCCCATATAACCGCTTATTCAAATTTGAATAATGAATGAGACGGTAATTCCTTACGACAATTTTTATCCTTTCCGAAGATTGCCAATTTTTTTGCTGTCACACTGGCTGTGCCATCAGCCGAGCTTAAAAGCCCTTATTATAAATTATAAAATAATTTTATTGTTGACATATTACTAGCTATTTACTAGATGCGAAGTTATGACTTTCAAAACTCAATATTCTGATTGACTTCATTTCAGGTCAGCTATTTAACAGATACTACTGTCTGCATCGATTTCGTCTTTGAATATGAGATGTAGTTGCACATATTATACACATATGTACATGTAGCATAAATGTATATGTGCAGTCACAATTAGCACTGGAATGCAAACACGTACGATCCTATTAAAAAAATGACTTTCTGCATTAAAAACTTTATGCCCACAGCAGTTTTTGTTTATGCCACGATTGCCCTATTTTTAAAAATATCGCGCATCGATGCCAGACATATGTAAATGCATAAATATACAACATACATACATACATATGCATATGTGTATGGAAGTGAAACTTTTTGCGCCAAACTATTCGTTTGGAAAAGCATTTTCATATGTTTTGGGCTAAGAACTAATTAGTTTATTCAATTGCAGCTTAGTAACGGCATATAATGTGGAGTAAAAGAGAGAATAASAAAAAAGCTGGCAAAGTGATAAAGTTTTAGATGCACATGMTGCATATCTACGCTTTTTCCTGAGACAGTTGAACTTTTACTCTAATTTCGCAGTTGCTCTTCGTTTCGCCTACGCAGCGCTCGGCTGCTAAGTCGGCGCGGCATCTTCCACCTCAACAGGCGAAATTATTTTCGAAAAAAGTTTTTGCCACTACTTTCAATCTCTCAGCGCGTTTTGACTGCGTTCATTTACACAAGTACATATGCCTACGAATACTYTCGCAACCACTGTGCGACCACCACCCGCCTGTCGGCAGGCGTGCAGGCAGCGTATGACAAATAKGAATTGCAAATCTGCATTTTGGCGCTTAGCCAGTAATTCTGAATTCACTCAGAATTGTCATTATTCATTAATTGCGCTTGCATCTAGCGAGCGCGTAAGTATTTACTTGCATGTGAGTGTGCGAATGCGCGGAAAGGACAATATTTCAAGTGTTTGTTGCAGACACATATATTCTTTCGTAAARGCCGAATGCACTAGAAACAGATTTTATCATGTCATTTTGTTAATTGTTTTTTTTTCAGTGTAATGTTGCAGTGATTAGGAAAGGAAATGGATGTAAGCTATGTATGTCTATGGAAATGAGCTTTTAGGTTAATGTTGACGATTTGGCGCAGATTTGTGTAATCACTAACCCTTGTTATTAATATTGGCAGGACAGTTTTCCAACATTCTAAATAAGAAAGAAGCAAAATTGTTTGAAAAAGGAAAGTATCATTAAGATATCCAAGAAAATATTGTGAAACAAGCTTGTTTTAGAAAAGTATATATATTGAAAGAGTAATCACGGAAAAAATATTTAACATTCGTAATGCCTAATATGTTCGTCACAAATCACTTCATTAAAGAACAAATTAAATACACAGTAAAATTAAAAAAAAAAAGTTAATATATTTTGTTATCCAAGCGACAGCGTGAAAAAAAGTCCTCCACTGCTGCAGTGATTTTGGATTTCTCCATTAATGCAACATATAAAAAATTCTCTGGTAAAAAATACTGTTTGATAACTTACGGGTGGGGGCATTTAAAAATGGAAGACTGTAACTCAAAAGGTTTTTGGAATTTGGCACACATCCGCATGTTATTAAAATCCTTGTTACAACTTTGGTTAGGCATATATTAGTATACGGCTCTGTGTCAAAGACCCTAAATACCGAATCCAAAAGTCAGAGTCCTTTCGAAAGCAATTTTGTCGTAGGTTACTTTTGATGCGATTCTAGGGGCTTTCGTTTTTCTTATATAGTCATTTATTACTGCCCCGTAGGGAAATATTTTTCCCAA